CCCCAATACATTTATTCCCTCCCCATACACAGACTCTTTCCCAAATTACCCCTAATCTACCCGCTGACTGAATACACAAGACTCGTTCTTCCCAAAATACCCCTAACCACTAACTAACTGGGACTGAATTAGTTGCTGCATTGTTTGCCTCCATCCTCGCTGTGCCCTGCTCTTTCTTTCTTCTCTCGTGGGTGAGCTAGATCGGGGGCCTATCAAACTGCTCCTTATCTAGTTGCTCCATGAGCCTGTATCCAGTAGGCCTCAACTCACGTGGGATCTTCCTTTGCCTAATGCTATGGACCTCAAAAACCTTTTTGTAGTTTATCCATTTTTGTGCAAAAATTCATCCTTTGAGATGAGGAGGTGGCCATGACTAGAAAATTTACCAGTTTTTATTTCAACTCATTCCCCATTTATTGGCACGCATTCTTAATAGGTTTTCCTATTTAGTGTTCTTAATCGGCATTATGATACTAAAGCCACTTATATATATCTCAGATAATTCAGTTTCAAGTCATGCCTACTATAATGTTTTCCTGTGATTGAATGCTCTACAGAAGTACATGTGCAGATTATCCATTCACTGTTATGCATAAAATTATGTAGTAGATCCTTTTTGACCTTTGTTGTTACCATAAGCTCCTCACTAATTTCACTCTCCTCTCAGTGTTATTTTCTGTGAGGCGGTTGCCATATATGGAGTTATCGTGGCTATCATTCTTCAAACAAAATTGGAGAGTGTGCCCTCCTCAAAGATTTATGATCCAGAGTCCCTTCGAGCAGGATATGCTATCTTTGCGTCTGGAATAATTGTGGGATTTGCAAATCTTGTCTGTGGGTGAGTTATCCTATACGTATAGTTCAATGAGATGACCGTACAATTTTAGAATCTACTAATTTTTTTGCGCTCCTTATTCTGTTGAAGGCTATGTGTCGGAATCATCGGCAGCAGCTGCGCTTTATCTGATGCACAAAACTCCTCTCTTTTCGTTAAGATCCTCGTTATTGAGATATTTGGTAGTGCTCTTGGACTGTTCGGCGTGATTGTAGGCATCATCATGTCAGCTCAAGCAACATGGCCTTCTAAGGGGTGAGTTCTTATTTTGTACCAACTGGTTTTAGTATTGGGTGGTTTAATATTTTGTTGTCTTCTTTTGCTTCGTAGCTTTGATGGGTATTTTGTATTTTTGTCGCTGTAATGCGATGTAAAATTAAAGATCCTTTGGCAAAAACACTGAACAAAAACTGCTACCAACAATCTAGTTTTGTATGTAATTTATTTTTAGGTCAATAAATTGCGTTCTTGTTACTATAAAACAAGACTTTTAAGATTTGTTTGGTTTACATGGATATGTTTGTGCTGTGGTTATGTAGTTATGTGGGTGAGCACATTTGCTAATTTTTTGTGGGTTATCGTGGTTATTGAGTGGAACAAGCTTCAAAGATTTTATACTTTTTTCTCGAAACCTATAAAATTTAGGTTGTGTTATTCTTTGATCGTGCCTAAATTTTCCTCTCTTAAGTGTAGAAATTGACTAACATCAAATTATTCAATCATTGATTAAGTGATTGAAAACATTAAACTAAATTCTTCAATCCAGTCATGTCTCGAATTCTACGAAGTACAAACCCTTGAATTTTTTATTTACAGACCAAGGTAAAAGGGATAGGTTAATCTTCACTCCAACCCCAATATGAAATACACAGTCTCTTCGTTTTGTCATCTTTGTTCTTTGCTTTTTCTTTTTCTCAAAAGCAAATGAATTAGATTTGACGGCACAATTAAAATTAAGTGGTTCAGATAATACCTATTGAAGATATTTTATATTCTCAAAAGCAAATGAATTAGTACCTGTTTGGCCTCATTAAATTACATTCTATTTTTCTCTTTCATATTTTCAACCGCATGATCTTTCATAAAATAATATTACACGTAAATCAAAAAAAAAATCTTTCTTTTTTCAATTACTCATTTTTCAAAAAAACATTATTTCACACATTTTTATTTCTAGAGAATGGGGACCGAACGAGGGCTAGAATTGACGGCACAAGTAATTTAAAATTAAGTGGTTACAATTAATTTAAAATTAAGTGGTTCAGATAATAACCTTTTGAAGATATTCTGCACAAAGTCTTCTGGCGGGACCACTGGATTTTGATTTATTGAACCCAATATAGCAACTTTACTGTCATTTTCACGTACAAAGATACATAGATATTGATATATACTTATATAGAGAACGATGTATCAGTGGGGAACGTTATGGCCTTCATTTTTTTTATAAATTTATTCTTAACAATATATTTTATGAGATTCAATATTTTTATCAATTTTCTAATCACATATTTCATCAGCTTTTATTAAAATCTATAAAAACATTGATCTTTAGCAAAAGAGTAATACTAAACATCAGCCTTAGTGCTGTGCAAATGTCATTAATTGATTGGTCACATTTAAAACGTCTAATTGCTTGTATGACATAGAGACTGGTCCTTTAGCGCCACTGATGTTAAATAGCACTATTCTTAATATGGGTTATAAGTCGAGTCTATTTTAATGTTGATTCAATCAAGATAACCAATGAAAACCCTTTTTTAGCACACTTGTGGTTGTCGATGTTCCAAAGAAGATTTATATGACATTATTATCATGTGGTCGTCGATGTTCCAAAGAAGATTTATATGACATTATTATCATAAAGAGTTTCGCAAGTAGTGTCCATTAGGATGATGACCTATTGTCAAACAAAAACAATCCCATCTTAGAATTTCAATACTACAAGATATTAAGCAATAGTTAGGGTCCATTTGGGCCAACTTTTTTTTTTTAAATCTCTTATAACTAGAAGCAGTGTTTTCATAAAATTAGTCAAAAAGCTCCAAATCAGCTTTTGGATCTAAAAAATTCCTTATAGAGATAAGTTGTCACTTCTTAACACCACCTTCATCTTTGGTCCCTTTACCATTTCCTGAAAAATGGATAACCACCAACACCTCACATGCATATTACACCTAAAGTTAACCGTGGAACAAAAACTAGGAGAGGAAAAGAAGGAAGAAAAAAGGGCACAAAATGGACCAGAGGAGGAAAAAGAAATAGATGGGAGTATTTTGAGGAAGGATTGTGACAACATTACATGTTGAAATCGATCTGAATTGACGTGATAGTGTCGATTAAAGTCAACAAGTGCAGAAACTAAATCACGAAGTTGGCAAACTCAAAAAACTTAGCTCGTTCCTTATTAAGATGACCGAGCTTATGCCTTGGTGAGCTCATACTTTAGGAGACAACCTAGCGTATTTTAAGGAAGGATTGTGAAAACATGACATGTTGAGATTGAACTGAATTGACGTGATACTATTGATTAAAGCCCACAAGTGAATCAAATCATGTAGTTGGCAAGCGCAAAAAACTTAGTTCGTGCCCGACCGAGCTTATGCCATGGTGAGCTGGTAATTCAAGAGACAAATGAGCCCAAATGGTCAACTTCAAGTGGTTAAACTCATTGTCGACACATGTCAGATTAACGAAAAGAAAGTGTGATTATAAATGGTGAACTTGGGATGCGTAACTCTATCTTCAAAACTTTTGAAGGAAAATGGTGCCTATCCTAGGGAAGCTTTGTAGAGACATGCAACGCGTATATGCCCATCAATTAGAAACTTAGCAAATACCACGATAATCGACTAATGAGGAACAATTCTCAAAAGTTCTATTAGCTGTCGTTATCAACGATTCACTCTATCCCATAAAAATAGACTTATTTCCATTTTCACACAAATAAAAAAAAATGTCATTAATATAAATTTATCTATATTTTTCTAATACACACTTACATTAAATAATTTATTTATTTTTAAAAATTATTTATATTTGTTGATAACAAAACATATTAATTAAGAATAAGAAATTATCTATATTCTCGACTAGAAAAGTAACATATAATTTGAGAGGCAAAAAAGAAAAGGAAGTATATATTTATGAAACGGAGGAAATAATAAAAATTAAGCAGGTGCATGTGATTATTAATTATTACAAGTTATGGGGAAAAACTCCAAGCAAGTAATTTATTTACAATTAAGTCCTTTGTTTGATGATCATTTTCACAGAATTCCTTTTTGTTTTTCAAATTTATTTTTAATTACATATTTTCACAATAAAATATTTTGCACCTAATTTCAAAACTTTTTCCTACTTTTTATTCCGTCCACAGTGCACAGGAGATCAAAAATGTTGAATCTATTTTCTTTAGACCAGGCAAACAAATTGAGCATGTCAGGCCAAGCTTAAGTAGTTTAAATTTAATTTTAAGTAAAATTTGTTTCTAAAAACTTTACTTTCAGAATAACAATATGTATATTTTAATTTCGACCAATAAAAATTTATTCATTTTAAAACTTATTTAATTAGTAACCTTTTAAGCTGCATTTTTTATGGACAACAAAAAGTTATATTTAGCAGCTTTAGCCACAGCTTTAAAATAAATAATAATAATAATAATAATAATAATTTATTTTTTTTTAAAGAAAACCCTTTTTCTTTTTAGCCATGTCATTAATTTGGTAGAAATTTCAAAAAAAATTTATTTTTAGATCTTTTAAGTAGGCTAAACGATGAAAGGAAGTAACCAAAATAATTTTGTGGCCGAATTCACACTTAATATGTTCTTAATTTATATATATCAGTCAGCAACGAAGTCAAACATTCTTCGTTGTGGGGAAAAAAGTTAAGTTAGAATTTTTGCTTTTCTCTTTCCAAGCAACATAACATTTATGAAATTAATTCAATAAATTACTAAATGTTGCATATAGGAATATCGAGTTACAAGTACTCCGGAAGGTAGAAAATTTTTCCATTTTCTTCCGATCGAAACACATGATTTCTATACCATGATAAAATGAAAACATTCTGTTTTCAAACTATTTGTAATGTTCAGTGGATAACAATATTAAAATTTAAGGTAACTGTTAGGAAACAATATGAAACTATTGGAAAACATTTTTAAAGAATGGTTACTGTTCAGAAAACTTTAAAGTTCAATTACAACTAAAAAATAATGTTAAAAGAATAGTGACCATTGATTATTGAAATTTTTGTCCTTAGGTTAATTAGGAAACTTGAAAACATTCAAAATTTTCATTAATTTACATAGAAAATGGTATATTTGTATTTAGTTTTCTAGTGTCAATTCTAATTTAATACTTTCAATCCTTTATCTTATTTCAATCAATGAATTATTGAATTTCTTATTTCAAAATTTCAAAAAAGATAAAATAAAATAATAACAATTAAAAAAATCTGATTTTTTGTTTATTTATTTATTTTTATTTTTTTTGGGATCAATTGACTCCACATGATATCACCTAAATCCGCCCATGATTAAAGTAAATCAAGATAAATACTTATTTATATTCAACTCAAAATATAACTTAATAATGTCATTGAATAATATTTTCAATATTTGATTGATCAATCTTTTATAATGTTATTTCTTCTGAAATTTTTGGTTGGTTTTTCTTGTTCTTTTTTTCGGGGCGTGGAGTCTTTTAAACCAACTGATCGACCACACTTCTAGTATATTTGAGATTCATTTGTTACAGCAAATTATCATACAGGGACATCAATTTTTCTGGAATATCTTCTGTTGATATATATGATTTGGTCATTTTTCTTGTATCAACAAATACATCTGATAATTGATTTGCAACTTTTTGCAAATGAATGATTTATTCTACCTCTTGCTTATATTGATTGCTACAGGGATCAAAGTGAATAGAATTGTTTCATTCCAAGAATTCTTACATATTTTTTCATGTTATAGTTTTTCCCTCCCAAAATTAAGAAAGATATTTCATCAAAATGACAATCTGCAAAGCGTCCAATAAATAAATCACCCATCAAAGGTTTAAAATACCTAATAATAGATGATGAATCAAAGCCCACATAAATCTCAAGTCTTTGTTGGAGATCCCTTTTAATGCATTGTGGGATGAAATATGGACTTGGACAGAATAACCAAAAACTCTTATGTGAGAAATATTAGGTTCATGACCAAATACAAGTTGTAAAGGTGAATAACGATAATAGGCAATTGATTTTATACGAATCAATGATGCAGCATGTAATATGACATGATCCAAAATAGAAATTGTGAATTTTGTTTTCATAAGTAATGGTCTAACAATAAGTTATAGACGTTATTACTTATGAAAACTCCGCTAACCGATCTTGTATATGGCCATGCGCAATCGAATATTCAATAACAACCCCAATTGACATACAATTATCATCGAATGCTTATGATCTAAATTCACTAACA